TATGTAACAAGCTGGGATTATATGACATATATTCTCCAGCTTGAGGGGGAGTGTTAAAGTGAGCCGAATAGGGGTAGCTTAGTCATCTTATGTTTGTTAAGTGGTTTGCTTATGTGGCAGTTTTATTAGAGACACTCTGCCCCACACTTAAGTAAGGGCAGTTTAGTCTTTGTAAAAGATTATTAGACTCTAATAAAGATTAAGGGAGTCGACTGGATGGGAGTGTCCATCAGATTTCGACAAACCCTTGTTTCCTTCTTCTTCTTCCTCTTCTTCTTCCTTCACTTCCTGGTTCGGGTTACTGTAGCAGCATTCGAAACAATTCCTCCAAGCTTTGACTGCCTTGCTTCAGATTAAAGTACTCTTGGTACAACTGATACACCCTAGTTGCATTGTCTTGCCCGGAATACAATTTCTTAGCATGATCCCAGATTTCTTTAGTTGTATCTAGGAACATAAAGTTCACACTRATTTTTTGTTCCATGCTATTCCACAACCATGTCATAATTTGAGCATCCTCCCGCTCCTAGTCACTAAACCCTAGAGAGTCAGAGGAAGGTTTTTCTTCTCTCACATGCTTTACCTTCTTCTTGGCCTTTAAGAACACCTCCAGTGACTTGGCCCATGGAACATAGTTCTCACCATTCAGCTTATTAGGTGTCATTTGAACATTTAGGTAATCTAGAGAGATCATAACACCAGTTTTGTTGTTACTACCATCTCCAGCTGACATCACTTTTCAACCAAATCTACTCACCTCACAAGGATGTATGAACACCACCACAGAAATCAGTGTGAATACCACCACACGACACAAGGTTTTTACTTTCAACTATTCAGAATCAACCACACAATATTCAGCACAGTACAAACACCACCACACCACTTCTGTTGTGAATTTCAGCAACAGAAAACCCTACTTTCAACGCACATACCCAGGTATAACAGAGGAAAACGAGACTGATATGCATACCAATCACTTCACACCACCACAGAAAAATATTCTAGACCAAAACACAGCATTCGCAGTCCACTACTTGGGCAAAAAAAAAACTGTTCATACCTTGTCCACAAACAGCCCTCTTCGTATCACAGAATAGAGGGCATCTAGTACACCACTTCAACGACCACCACCACAGCAACTGCAGGCATACTTACCTCCAAAACCAAAAAACGACCACTCCTTTTTAGCCTCTTGTCGAGCTTCCAATCAGGCTAGAAGAAAATCGAAGAAAGCTGATATGGCTGGCGGCAAACCTAGGAAGAAGAAAGGGCGATGAGGAAAGAAGAAAAAGAAAGAAAAGGAAACTGGGTTTTATTGCTCTGATACCGTGTGAAAACCCTATTCAGTTCTAGGTTAAAGTAGAGAAAAAGAAGAGGAAGAAGAAGAAGATGGAGAAGAAGGGTTCAGCCAGTAGAGGAAAATCAGTCCTCTCTAGTCGACCCACTTGTATTTATCTCAAATAAACTTGGTTACAAGAAAGACAATATTGTCCCTCATAAGTGATGGGACACACAACTTAAACTTGAATAAAACAGACCTTTCACTCTCAAATAGATAAACCCAAATGACCAAAATACCCCTGTTCTGTGAACTCTAACACCCTTTAACCTCTTTCTATTCATATATTTGTTTGGACCTAGATGTGATGTAAAGGAAGATTGCCCAAGCAACACAAAAACAGAACCAATGTATAGCATAAAGAAATTAAATTTTTCTTCTTTTCTTTTCTTTTCTTTTTTTCTTTGGGTGGGGGGAGTGGAGGAGAGCTGATGATATATTGGTCGGGTTTAAGAGATACATGTAATAACACTCACAACAACAATAAGCTTATCTATAAAAAGAGAAAAGAGAAGCACAAACAACACAAATCAACTCAAATTTTTGAATGAAGGCATATGGTTGGGCTTTCCTAGATGCATACCGGAAATTGTAGGATTTCACACAGTTTTGATATCTCAGGCTTCAAAAAGAGGTGAAGGCTATTCTGCGAATTACGTAATTTTCTTCCTTCAGATTCAACCCACTGAAATTCAGATGCTTTAGAGATATCATTAGCAATATTGGACAGAGCAAGCTTCACATGATTTTTTCTATACGTATTAACTGTTGACTGTAGCAGAGATTGAGATCCATCACCAGCTTGAGTTGTGGTCCTTCCTATAGATAATGAGATGCCAATATTTCCATAAAATAAAAAGAAAAAAGAAACAAAGCATAATAACTGAAAAGCCAAATCATTCCTAAGTGTTAATCCTTCATTCCACCCCAACAAATTGGAAATTTTGTGAAATAACGAATGATCCATAGTAATTAAGCTCTAGCAGCAACCTATCATTTTACCTTCCTCTTCCCCAGGAATTCCTTTCCTTTCATCTTCAAGACAATGTCTGAGCGAGATTGGATCAATTGTGTTATTGACCACCTTCTGTTTCTTTATATTTTCATCACTTGGAACTTCTGGTTTCTTTGACATCTCATCAAAATACTGAACTTTCTTCCGAACCCTCTGAGAAGGCCTAGAGGTATATTTCCACTGAGGTTTCCTACCCTCCAGTAGTTTCTCCCAAAATAGATGTGGCACTTCATCTGTTAACTGCCTTTCTGATTCACCAAATAAATAAACATCTCTTGGATAGGCTGTTCCACTCTGCTGAACTTTTGCGATGATCGAGCAGTTTCTTGTATCATTGTTTTTAGTGTTGCAGGTTAATAGCATCAGCATTTCCCCCACTACATTCATCATCAGCTGCTCCGAAGAATAGTTTGACCCTGAATCTGGGGTTGTACAACCATGAAATTCATCCAGTTGATTGAATAAATGGGATGCACCCCAAATGAGTAGTGTATGACTAGTATTACGGTTTATATTCTGCACATTGCTGTCAAGAGTCGCATCTTGCTTTGCCAGAATTAGAACTTTTTCTTCCATGGTACACGATGAATATAGACGGAATACTTTTAATTGTTGAAACTGTGAATCAATAGTGATCCTTTGCAGGGCTTTTAAATCATTAAAAGGGTTCCAGTCACTACCAAATAAAATAACAGTATCCACTGAAAAAAGTTTAATGCTTGGATGACAAGCACGATTTTCTAATAGGAAAATAAATCTACCCTTCTCTTTGTTAAATAAATTCAAAGCAGTTTGCCTTTTTGAACTGAGCAATCCACTGTCAATACGTTCATAAGAGTCTGGACCAAACCTTTGGCGTAGAAAGTCATCTAAGATATCTCCAATAGAATTCCGTCCAGACCCACCAATTGACTGCCATATCAAAAGCATTTAAACGAGAACAGGGTTATATTACACAAATATATGTTTGCATGCTGTCAACCACTCCATGAAGCAATGAAAATACGAACCATATAAAGAAAAGAAAAAAGCATCAAACAAATGTCTATGGATACACACACTATCCAATATTTAGAATCATGTACCTGAAAAAGGATCAGCACTCTTAACCCTCGATCCTTAATGGCAGACAAAATGCAATCGAGAAGTTGTAGCTTTCCACTTGCCTTCACACCAATATCCAAGTATTCAGTCTCTGGAAGACCTTTTGTGAGCAAGCTTTGCAAAGATTGATCCACAAGATAGGGATGGTCACAGCACTGCCAAAAAAATTAATATATAAGCATATCTAACAAAAAGGCCTAGTAATCTACCAATCCATAATGGTCTACATGTCTGCACAATAAAAAATGAATAATGGATGAAATAATCACATCAAACAAAAACACAAAAATGTGGTAGTACAACATTCAGCTAAATTGAGGCAAATTATCCCATTCAAAAGCAATGATGCATGGTTAGGCCTGACCTTCCTGGCAGAAATAAGGATGTCACGAAGGGCCTCGACAATATCATTTTTTGAATTTGAACGAAGTAACATAGAGTTTGAGAGAAGAGTAGCACAATACTGCTCGAGCTGCACATTGGAAAGCTGGACAGGAACCCAATATTCTACAAACTTAGAGGAGTTCAACTTATGCTCAAATGCAATAAACTGTGCCAACCGTTCCTTCAGCTTGCTCATGTTAGAGCCCTTCAAACCATCGGTGCTGACCTTCTCAGTTCCAGGGTCAAGGAATGAGAGAAGATTAAGTTGCTCAGTTATACTATCCTGGAGAGTGGAGAAGTTCAACAGAAGTTAATTATCTAACCTGTATTCACTGGAAGCAGGATGTCACCTAGGTGGCACCTAAGCATAGTTATCAAATTGTTAAGTCAAGGCTAGGTGATAGAAGAAAACCTTGTCAGCTAGGCAACAAGTCACCTGCCTCAAAGATGAATTTTTATACAAAATATTTGGCTGATTTTAGCTTGCTTCCTTAATTTTTAAGAATTACATTGTTTACCTAGTTGGCGTAACAACTAGAAAACATAAGTGATCTAACAGTAAAAAATAAACATTAAAAGTAGAACTAAAACAACATCATATAGCCTATGAAAAACTTGAAAAACTAGGGGATGGATCTCTATTCTCTTTGTGCAATAGGGAGATGCAGAGAGAATCTGTGTGTGTGTGTGTGTGTGTGTTAAAATCACAAAATAGAGATATTGAAGAGAGAATGTGCAAGTATGTTAATTATAGAAAAAGGGAAAAATGAAGGGGCAAAGCCCTTACTCTGGCCATAACTAGAAAGACAGACAAGAGTGATTACCAAGGATTTAAAGAAAAAGAACAAAAGAAGAGGCAAGGCCCATTTGACGACTCTCTAAGTTAAAAATAGTTCTTTTACGATGCCCTGTGCACCTATTTACATTACAAATACGATATTGTTAGCTGCACTACAACTAAAATTATTACACCCCCTATATGAACACTCTTGGGATTTGCCTCAAGTAGAAGTCCTGTGTATAATGATGAATTGATGCCCACCTAGTTATGCCAAATGACAAGATGGGCATCTATACAATTTACTATTACAAGTGTTGTTGATACACCATATCAAATGGTACACAAATCAAGTCAGTAAAGTAAATACCAAGAGTTCAGTTTTAACCCAAAAAGGGCAGGTCTACTGTTGAACTAAAAAAGGTTTCGAGGAATGAGGAGGAAGAGAAAGGAGGAGGACTGCAACCACCCAAGTTTCTAAACCCTGAAGAACATACGTTATTCCTTTTTTTTCACATCTGTTCTCCTCCTCTCCACCAGTATGGAAAGGGGACTGCTCCTTACTCCTTCCCATTAATTTTCAAATATAAAAACAACAATAAAAAATGCATGGCCCAACTCAGCTAGGAAAACAAACTAGAAGTTGCAGGTTTTTCATCAAAATTCATCCCCTAGGCAGCTGAGTAGGTGCTACAACACCGCCTTCTAACCTACCCTCACCTTGGCACCTTGATAACTATGTCTGTAATAGAAAGAACCAACACGAAAACAAGAAAACATAAACACCTTTACTTGACCTCTGGAAATGAGAAGCCTAAAACCAGTAGTCAGCATCTTAATTTGTTCAAGATGTTTTGCAACTCCATACTGTTGGCATTCATCAACTATTATAGCCTCCCATCCCAGGCATTCTAAGATTTCTAAATCCTGCAGAAAAATATTAGGAGCCAATTAGATCCCTATGCTTATGAAATATAAAACAATGCCGTAAACAAGTCATTTGAAATTTAGTAAAAATAGTTCAACAAATAAGTCATTTGTCTGGTTAACTTAAGGTATCAAGACATCATGCTTTCAGGTGAACCATGCCAAACTTTTTACCTTAATAACCAAGAAAAGGGCAACCGTGCAGGTAGCCAGGGGATTAATAGTCTCATACCTCAAATCAACCAGGAAAATGACTCATCCCTAGATCACTTATTTTTATCTCAATCCTGGAGTGTAAAACCATCTTAAAGCAACCTGAATAAATCCTAAGCTAGTACCTCAATAATAGCATCTGGCGGTGATAAAAGTACATGAAACATTATGCAACCACCTTCCTTATAAAATTTCAGTGACCTTAAAGTCTTCCGTACATCTTTGCTCCCATCATAGACTATAACATTGACAGATGGGGCTACATGCAAGAATTGAGCTTCCCAAACAGAAAGAACAGTTGAAGAAGAGATAATGAGGAATGGCCGGCATACATCAGGTTGCAATGATAAGATAAATAAGACCACCCTTATAACTCGCTCCTGCAAACATGGAATCCATTAGTTCTAGTTTAATAGATAAACCCATACCATGGTCTTAGGCTAACAAACATTTAACTGATATGACACAATAAATATAAAGGCAGGTATTAGAATTAAGGGCTTGCTAAGATTGTTGATTAGAGAGAATATTTTCTGCACAATTACAGCAAGAATAACAGAAAGAACAGAAGGAAGAAGGAAAAAGAATGAGCAATATGACTTGTCAGTTTCCACATTAACATAGTGATATTACAAAAAAAAAATAATAATAATTGAGACAGAATAAGGTAAGCATGCAAAACAAACACAATAATAGAAAGTTCCCAGTATCCTGTCAAAAGTCTCCTTACATGGATTGCTATGTTGGATAAGATCTTGAGGATCCACCACCTAATATCTAGAGGGGGTGCAACCCAAAACAGAAGTTTTGTTTGTAGAGTTGAGGACTCAACATCTCATTTTCCATTGCATTGTCCCTATTTCTATGTAATTTGGTTGCATTTCATAGCTCTTTCCAACAAGGAAAGTGTGATCCTAACTAACTTATTAAATCTTACATGGCTGATGAGAGGTCTTGGTAGAAGCCATGTTCTTTTGGACTTCATTCCTTTTCACTATGCTTGAGTTCATGATCAGAAAAAAAACAAAAACAAAAGGCACATTTTTTAAGAAAAAAAAAGCTTTCCACTGGCAATGGTAATAGACAACATAGGAACACAAACAGCATGATGAACTGCTATCTTAAAGGACTTCTGGGGCCTCACTTAAATATTTTAGGAGTCAACGTGGCCCAATTATGTCCAATAATTATTTTGAAGGATAAAGGCCAATGAATTAATATTTCATGTGCAACCTATAAATCTTTGTATATAGGACTTCAACCCTCTTTGTTCTTTTGTTTCTGCAATAAATACAATTGTTTGTCACTTGTGCAGAAGAAGAAAAAAAGAAGAAAAACTAAAATCCATTTACCATCATTTAACTATAGGTCTGATGTTGGCTGGAATGACCCAAGGATGAGTCTAGAAAGGTGCTAATTAGCTAGAACAGTGTTTAGAGATGATTTTAGAACTAAGGCTATAGGTTGGTTGGGTTAGAAAGGGTCTTGGGGCTTAATTGCAAGAATTGCAATGTTGTCCCAAAACTCTGAACAGTTTCAAATTATGGGGAAAATAGGTCCAGTCTTGGAATTTTTAAATGAAATTTTGTAGGTAAATTTACCTTGTATAAATGTAAGTTCTAGCATTGACCAATTCTGGTAGGGTTTACAGCACATCTTGCAAAAAAAAAAAATAACATAAAGAATTTGCTTTGTGAAGAAATACAAAAATACGGAATCTAAAGTTGTAGGTGGAGCCTTGAGATTAAATTTGTATGAAATTTTATGAAGATCTATAGGGCTGACCATATATGAAATCAATCAAACATAGTCTGGCTCAAAAGGACAAAAATGTCAAAACAGGAAATTTTCAGGTTTTAACGTAAACTTTAATAAGTACCAGGACCAATTCCATTCCTTTCCAGATATTGATTGAAATCCTTTGATAAAGAATTTTTAGCTGTTGATGGATGTAATAACTACTAACAAATTTGAAGTTGAGTTTGGGTTTTGCTTTCAAATGGTTGGTATAATTGGTTGTTGGTGTGTGCTGAGTTGAAGCGCGGAGGTGCAAGTGGGTGGTAATGGATTGTTTTTTTTTTCTTTTTTTCTTTTTTTTTGTTCTTTATATTTCTTCTCTCAGATGACTGCTGGTCATCTTTCTTGTACTCTTCTTTTTCTATTTAATAAATTTTATTTTTATCTTCAAAAAAGAATGAGAAAAGTAAGAAAGAAAACCCAAAATCATTCAATGAGCACCTAGAATCACTCTAAGGGTTATGGGTATCACTCACCATAAGCATAAAGCATAATATGGACAGATCCCATAGACAATAACGTAACCAAAATACCCCCACTGTCTAAAAATAGAAAAATCGTAAAAATCCAGAAATTTCCAATTTGACTCTTTAGCTCCTACATTAGGTCCAGCTGTTATTTTGCAGGGTTTCCACAATTGTACAAGTGGACCTTAAAGAAAACTTAAAAGCCTCAATAGAACAACAGTTTGCAATTTTGATACAAATGGATGTTTTGCCATATAGAAATGACGAGATTTGAGGAATATTTCAAGGGGATGGTTCAATAAACATAACCCAGCCCCAACAAAGCCACCACAGGTTTACAGCTTGCAAATGGTTGATGATGGGTTATTGAGGAAGATCCCTAGCTGTCACAGCCCAGGAACGCAATCTCCCAACAGAAGAACTGGTTAGCTCATCAATCTGGTGGTGCTTTCCTTGAAGATCCTCTTGTTCTTCTCAGTCCAATCTGTCTACACCACTACCGACGGAACCAAAACCCATAACTTCTTCCCATTTTTGCTTAACCCCAAGGGGCACCAGCTAGCTAGAAGCTCTCACAAGTTCCTAGGAACCACCCAGGCCAGCTTAGCAGCTCTAGGAAAATGTAACCAGATCTCAATAAACCACAGGACGGTGGATAAGTAGATGTTTCAAAATTTCAGTCATCTGATCACACAGCTGACAGGAAGTGTCTTGAATCTGGATACCTCTCATGAGCAGGCAATCTTTCATTAGCCCTTTCCCATGGGTAGCATACCACAACAGGAAGCATACCTTTGAAGGAATCACATCTCTCCAGCTCTGCTTGAAAGGAAGCATATATTGGCTAGCAGGGAGCAGGTTCTTAAACATTGATCTAACAGAAAAGCAGTCATTCTTCCCCCACTTCCAGAACCACTGACCTTCCTGACCCAATCTAATAATCTGGTTGTTAAACACCTAGAGGAGCTCTAGGGTATCTTCTATCTCCCAATCCTGAGGGTTTCTTCGAAGTCTAGGGTTTCAAACTAATAAATCATTCTGCCATTCATAAGAATCTGCAACAAATATGTCCGTGGTGATTACAAGTTGGAGCTGGGTCCTGGACACCACTTCAAGGGGGTTCAACCTCCAGAACAGGTGTCTGTGTGTGTGTGTGTGTGTGTGTGAGAGAGAGAGAGAGAGAGAAAGCAAATGGTTTATTCTTCTTCAATTCCACCTTTACACTTATTCCCTTTTTCCATTTTCCCAAGAGTCAACTAATTCATCTAGCTACCAAGACACTATCCAGCATCTATCACCAGATATGTTGTACCAAGCAGAGTATTGAGCAGTTAAGAAACAGCATGTCCAAAAAATGAGGGTGACAGAAATGCAAATGCCTAGATAGATGAGTGGTAGAACTAGGAAGGACAGGGTTAGAAATGAAGTCATATGAAGGAACCTAGGAGTAGCTCCAATAGGGAATAAAATGAGAGAAAGTAGATTGAGATGGTTTGTTCCCATGCATAAAAGACCATCCACAGCACCTATTAGGAAAAGTGATCTATTACAAGTTGAAGGGGCTAGAAGAGCTAGGGGCAGACCAAAAAGGACTTGGATGGAAGTAATATGAAATTATTTAAGCACCCATAATTTAATAATGGATACGGCACTGAACAAAACAGGACGGTGAAACAGGATTCATGTAGCTGACCTCATAGTTGGGACAAGGCTTAGATGATGATGAGGAGGAGGAGGAGGAAAAACTAGAGAAATTACAGAAAGATTACTAAAAGCATAAATTTTGTTAATGAAGTGTATTAGACTTAGAAAATCATAGCAAACAACTATGTATACAAATAAAGGAAGGTTCAGAAGCTTAAAGAGGTATATAAATCATAGGAAAAAAGTAATACAGTAATATAAAAGGAATTTTCATGATTTTTAATGTTAATAAATTAATTTAATCTCCATATATATGTTATTTATGCACTTATCCTTCTATATTTTCTAAACTAATATACTTCTATATAAATATAATATTTTTAGATTCCACCAACTTGCATATATATAGCATTTATCTGCTCATGCTTATCTTATTTCTTTTCTTAACTTAACATCTTTCCTTTCTATGAATCTTTAATAAATCGGTTATATGTAATTATGTATTTATTACAGAAACTAGTGTAAGAGCACATGCTATGCACATGTGCAAGATAAAAGCATAAAAAATTAAAAACCTTATATGTATGGTGTAGTGCAAATTAAGTGCTTTAACTTTTATGGCCTTCATGGGAGTCAAGGCAAGTATCCACTTTATATAGCATAGATAACATATCTATATACATGAGATGTACAATATATATAGTACTAATAAGTTCACACTATCTTATCCCCCTATCCTAATTTCATTTCAATTTTTTTTTTTGTGATCAGTAACAGGAAACTTTCATTAAATTATAAGAAGATTAAAATACAAAGGTGGGGGAGGCAAACCCTCTTACCACCCCCCCAACAATAAGATTACATAGTAGCCCAAAACAAATGGATATAGTGGAGCAAACTCATAAATGGATCATTTATAAATTAATGTAAAGATATGTAAAGATATGTTTTAAATTATAATTTATAATTTGCAAGTACCAAACTCAAACAATTTTGTGGTTATAGTGGAGCAATGCTAAAAGCCTACAATCCATGTGTTATGCACATATATGCAGCACATATACAAGGGTAAAAGTGTAAAACTCAATACTATGTCATGCCAAAGATAACAGATGACTGGAGATATAAAACTCAATACTATGCACAAAGCAAAATAAATGCATAGAAAACGAATGTGTAAAATATTGATGATAATCTGTTCAAGCAGGCTCCTACTTGATCGTCAATAATAAGAGCATTCTGGTCCTTGTGCCAACATTCGCGAAGCCTGTTAACATAACGTAGATGACAATTATCTAGTCCAGGAGGGACTCCATTGGGAAACTTTGACAATTTAAATGATGACCCTTTCTTCTGCAGCAACGACAAATTGTTAATTGCATATCCATGACAACAAGAAAAAAAAAAAAAAGTATAGCATGAAAGTTATGCAAACAACAAAGAGTGAGGTATTTGAAGACCCTTGATGATTGTGAAGAAATACTTGTTCTTGACATGCAGAATAACAGCAATAGGTAAAATAACATCAGAAACATAACAGGGCTAAGTTGTAGACAACATTACCCAAATCTAATCTAGACTTCACCAAGCTGGGTTTTAACAAAAAAAAAATCAAGTTCATTTATCTTGGGAAGAAATACAGCAAAGAACTCATCAAAGCAGCAGGTGGATCAATAAATTCAAGAACCAAAACAAATGAGATTGATGAGCCTGAATATGCCTTCCTATTGCAGTTGAAAGATCTCATCTGCATATCATATTGTATCATATTGCTGCAAAACACCAATAAATAATTTCATCACACAACATTCTAAGATGTTAACTGCTTTTTCCTCAGTGAATCATAGTTATTGGTCCATGTCAGTAACATTTCTTCATCCAAAAGTTGTAACCAGCAAGGCATTGTTCTTATAATGTAGGCAAATACCAGTTTTAGAGCAAACAAACATAAAAATTAATGCAGATAAAGCCCCAGGCCAACATCCCTAGGCTGTTGGATCACGTAAAACCAAGCCATTTAACCTTAGGGACCATAACATACCACCACACTCAACAGATGACATCTCAGCATCTCTTACTCTAGTGGCTAAGTAGCCCCTTCCCTAGTTTCTCTTACTCTAGTAGTAGGTACTAGGTAGCCCTTTCCAGGATGGCTTTCACTTTGGCAGCCAGTAGCATTTTACTCTGCTCCAAGTAGCCCTTTCTATGATAGTTTTCACTCTACTCGAGGCAACCCTCTCCACGATAGTTTCCACTCTACTCCAAGTAGCCCTTCTTCCAAGTAACCCTTGCCTAGAGGGGCGTGGTACAAAGGCAGCTCGTAGAATCAGGAATGTAATATGTTTTACATCACATTAGCTACTTAAAGTAATGCAGTTGTGAAAAAAGAAAGAAATTGTGGGTTTTATATGCTTGAAAATGTTTTATATATTTGATTTTATTTTTAAACTCTCATTTGAATATGCTTTACATGTTACATTTATGTATTTTAATATTAGATAATAGGTTTTTCAAAACATTTATTTTAAAATTAAAGTTTATATTTTTATTAATATTATGTTTAATAAATTTTTGCTTTTTTGCATTTTTTTGCATTTTTTTGAATTTTTTGGCATTTTTTTATTTTTTTTTTATTTTTAGCCTTTTTTTTGCGCCTTGCTTAAAAAGGCGCACGCCTCACCTTGTGCCTCAGGCACGAATTGACCCCTGCGCCTTGCGCTTTTAAAACACTGATTATACAATACATGCTATTGATGTGTCAATTAAAAATGATGCTTTTAGAAAGTTTAAACAATTCAAAGATGGCCTCTTCCTCCACTTAAAATAAATTTACGGGTTTAAAGTATGATTATACAATACCTGCTATTGATATGTCAGTTATAAATATTATGTTATTGTGTTTATATAAAAGCTACAACTTAATGTGAATATGCTTCCTATGCTATTATAGAGAGACAATCAAACATCTCTACAGTCCCCCACATCATCTTTTATTAGAAAACTAATTAAAGTTTGAATACCGATACAAGTACACCCTTAGTAAGGCAGCCAGCTCAATAAAGATAATAAGAAAAGTAAAACAGGCCCATAATTAAGGCCCACTAATGGAGACACAAATCATAAACAGTGTTGTAAATAAAAGAAAAGAACTATGGCCCATCCAACCAAGTATCTCTACACTCCCCCTCAAGCTGAGCATATATATCAATCATGTCCAACTTGTTTACATGGTACTGCAGTTTTGCCTTAGGTACACCTTTAGTTAGAACATCTACCAGCTGCTCCTCTAAGGCAATGAAAGGGAGGAGAGACTTCACTGGATGCCACTCTCTCTCTTATAAAGTGTCTATCTACCTCAATATGGTTTGTTTTGTCATGTTGGACAAGGTTGTGAGTTATATTAATTGTAGCCTAATTATCACAGCACAACACCAAGGGTTTATCATATGCAATGACCATCTCCTCTAGAAGTGACCTAACCCACAACAACTCTGAAACTCCATAAGCCATGGATCTACATTCAGCCTTAGGTGAAGATATAGCTACCACAGGCTAATTCTTACTTCTCCAAGAGACAATATTCCGTGCTACCAAAGCGCAATAACCAGATGTAGATTTTCTATCATCAATACTTCCGGCCTAATCATCATCTATATAAGCTTCGAACTTCATGTGTCTATACTTAAAGAAGAGAATGCCCTTTCCTGGAGTTCCTTTCAAGTAACACAAAACTCTTTTTGCAGCAGTTGTATGTGTGTCTCTAAGAGCATACATAAACTGACTAATCACACTGATAGTATATGAAATATTTAGTTGTGCAATACAAAGATGTAGTAACTTCCCTAAAAGTCTCTAGAACACTACCCTATTTACCAAGAGCTCACCATCATTGGTTGAAAGCTTATAGTTTGCATCAATAGGTGTAGAGGCAGGTTTGCCACCAAATTTCCCAGACTCAATGAGAAGATCTAGCACATACTTCCACTTGGAGATGAAGATGCCATCTTTAGACTTAGTAACTTCAATTCCCAAGAAATATCTCAACTCCCCTAAATCTTTAATCTCAAATTCTTAATTAAGGAAGTTCTTGAGTGCTTTAACTTCCTTTGGATCATAGCTTGTAACAACAATATCATCAACATAAACAATAAGGTAACTGGAGTCTCTCTCCTCTTAATAAATAGGGTAGAGTCAAGTTGTGTCTGAGTGTAGCTAAACTCAGTAAGTGTAGCTTGGAATTTGTCAAACCATGCTCGAGGCGATGGCTTGAGGCAATATAAGGATTTCTTCAATTTACACACCTTACCCTACATTTCCTTGCCATATATGCCCAAAGGAAGTGATATATAAACTTCTTTAGTTAAGTCCACATTTAAAAAGGCATTTTTAACATCAAACTAATATAAGGGCCAATCATAACTCATTGCCAAGGATAAAAAAACCCTTACTGAGGTCACTTGGAAACTAGAGAGGTCTTCATATAATCAACTCCATACACCTGTGTATAACCCTTGGCAACCCAGTCAGGCCTCAATTGTACCATCAAAATGATACTTGATGGTGAACACCCACTTACATCCCACCGGTTCCTTCTCGATAGGCAATCTACAATATCCTAGGCATTATTTTTGCAAAGTGCTTCTATTTCAGGTCTCATAGTTTCCCTCCATTTTTCTTGGACAAGGCTTTTGTAATTGACTTGGGTATAGTTAAGAGGAAGTAAAGACTAGGAAAGAATAGTATGAAGGTGACAACAAACTATAAGAAAGGTGTTTTGAGATACAGTGAGTCATACATTTTCTCTTACCTTTTCTCACAACAATAGGTAGGTCAAGGTCTGGGAAGGAAGGCAATGGAGCATGTGGTAAAGGTCTTATCCTATCTTAAGGAGTTGGGAGTGTCTAAGGCTCAACTGTAGATGGTGGAACAACCTATTCATGTCATAGCCTTTGTCTTTGGTACCATCTCTGAATAATAAGATGAATAGTGAAAACCTAAGGACTAGCAAGTGGTGAAGGAGCAAGAATAGGAGAATTATGAGACAAGGAAGACTCTGCCAAAGGAATAGGAGCTGTAGAGGATTCAACACCAAGAAAATAACTCAACGAAATGCTCCCCCTTAGGAGAATGGCCATAAAAGGGAAGGAACTCAGCAAAGGTGACATCCATAGAAACAAAACGGATGCCTCTAGTAGGATCAAAACAGCAATAACCCTTCTGTGTGGAGGCATACTCTAAGAAAATACACTTCCAAGCTTTGGTTTCAAATTTATGTCTCTGAGAGCTAGGAATATGGATGTAACATGTACAACCCAAAGACAGGCAAAGGAATAGGGAAAATATCACCATTAGGAAACATAACAGCAAAGGGGGATTTGAACCCCAAGACTCGAGAAGACATGCAATAGTAGGAATCTGCTGAATTAAAAAATATGAAAGAAAGTAGTTTCTTGAAGAGAGAAGGAAGAGAGAAGGAGAAGAAGAGAAGAGAAGTTGAACAAAAAAGAGAGCAATGATCTGGCCGCCCCCTTCACTTATTATTTATACTAAAATAATAGAACAGTACAAAGACAACTATGCCCTTATAGGGCGGCAAAACATAAAACAGCATATATAACACTCAAAAACATAATAAAATTTGGACTCACATAACTACTGTGGTCCCCACCTCCTATCTAACAACTAACATAAAACATCTACTCAGAAAAACATCATAAAACTAATTAATCTTCAACAGCAATTAATAAGATAGGTATCTGTCATGATGATATCACCCCAAAATCTCACTAGAATATGGGAAGCAAAAAGAATACTCCTAGCTACTTCAACAACATGTCAATATTTCACTCCATTTTTCTGTAGAGTACAAGCACGAGAATTTTGATGCACAACCGCTAAACCTCTCAAAGTATGAGATAAGATCCTTCTCAAAACTATTCCTTAGCATTATCTAATCAAAATATTTTGATATGTGTACCAAATTGGGTAAGTATAAATTCATGAAATCATTTCACAAGTTTTGGCACTTCAGCACGAGACCACATAAGATAAAGCCAGGTATAATGAGAAAAGTCATCAATAAACAGAATAAAGTATTTGCAACCACCCACGCAAAGTACATGGTATGGCCCCACACATTAGAGTGAACAATATGAAAAGGAACAATAGATCTTTTATTATTTGTATTATAAGAATTTCTACAATGCTTTGACAGTTCACATAACTAACAATGTAGACTTGATTTTTTTCGGTTGGGATCACCAACCAACCCACCCAATTTTCTCCCCAATGGGTCACCAACCCGTTGGGTGGGTTGGGTGGGTCAAATGGGCTGGGGTCAAGATTGCCAGTCCTGGTTGGTTGTTTTTTGGTTCTTCTGAAGGTTCTTATCAAACCTTGCAGTAAATAAGGTTGTCAATGGACTGGATTCTGGTCTAATCCAATTCGATCCAATAAGGATTCCATAAAAGATAATCCAGATTCAATCCAATCTGGATCCAAAAAAATAAAATAAAATAAAATCCAATTCAATCAAATTTGATCTGACTCATTAAGTTCTGCAAGTGAACAGAATAATTGTATGGTTCCTCTAAAGCTCTAACAGAAAATATCATTAATAATTCTATCTTCAAGAATTGAACAGACCTGTACCTTTATTTTTTTCAAAGTTGGGTCCAACCAATGAAGATCCGCAACTTTGTTCTCTCTCATTAGGAACTCAAGAACCATTGCAGCCATAGGATTAAAAAACTGATCAAACTCAAGTCCCCAGCTTTACCCTAACTGGTTGCTGTGGTTCTCTATTGTCATATAAGTGTCTTCTCCATCTCCTCTGTAGTCTCTACCTCCTGATCTTAAGCCCCCTTCCCCAAAGCTTTAATGGCGGGCTTAGCCTTTTCTATTCTCTCTCAACTTTTTCTTATTCAGTCTCATTTGTTAACATTATCTTCATTACACTTGACCTTCCACTATTTTCCAAGATGAACAAGCAGATCATGATTCAAGAAGAAACTTAATCCAGATTGAAAAAACATGGAGCATCTGATCCATGGATTTTATAGATGCCAAGTTCAAAAAAGCAATCTTTCTCTTGAATCAGACTAGCCATGCTCAGTTCTGTCAGAGGCCTTGTTTTTTGCTTCTTTCTCTCCAACTCAACCTAGGACCATCCTAACCTTACCCTGACAGTAGTTAGAAAGATGAAAGCCATGGTTAAAGAAAGGTCAACAAAAATTTTTGCATCTCTCTCTCCAACCCCTGGGATCCTTTTTTTTGGTACACTGGAATCCAGTAGTGGTTATGTATGGTATTGACAAAGTGCTGATTCAGAAGTTTTGATTTAAAATTTGTTGCTTCCCTGGAGTTCTAATGGGCTTCAATTATTCAATCACAAGGGATCTCACATTTGTTTGTATCAGTGGGATCTTACTATGCTTACATTACCTGAAACAGTTCCAGAGTTATGACAGGCTTGAGTATTCAATTTCAGTCTAATGAGCCAAGACTACAGATTACCACTGCTAAGACGAATATGCAGAACTCTGTCTCAAGTGGTCTATACCAGCAAGGATGTCTATCAAGGTCATTGTACGGGTACATCAATGGCAAAAACCCAAAGAACCCAAAGATGATCTGACCTAGTAAAAGTGGGAGTGGGATCAAAGAATTTGATGCTGACAGTAGCGAACAGTATAATCAAAAGAGGAAAAGGCCTCCATGTTGACTGGAGCTCCAAAAAGGCCCTGTTTCTAGATTTCCAAGCACTTTTTTTCTGAATATAATTAATGACATTGAAATTAGTACCCAAACATTGACAGAGATAACACCTATACAGAAGGAAAGTTCTTACATTCAAAGCTGAACAATTTCTCTAGAGCTTTTATCAGAAAAGGTGTTATTATACATGCTGGAATTTTTTATGTAAATTTTTAGTCAAATAGGTATGCAAAATGCATTACCTGTCAAAAAGAAATAAAAGAAAAACAAAATAAGGGAAGATAGCAAACATCATGAAAGAAGTATACTTAAATCATGCTTACTTTTTGTTTGCAAGAACAAACTACCTGACTTCGTGAATCAAGGTCCACCCTGCGTAAATCAATATCAATTATAAGTTGGTAACAAAGCTAATAAATTTCTTTATGATATGTTCTTTAATTGTATTGCCCAACAAGAGTAGTTGGAGAGAACTTAAAAGTATATCAAAAATCAAGAAAAACAACAAGACACTGATGCATTACATTGTTCAAGGACTGTAGAAACTTGATAGCAGAAATAGTAAGAAGATAAAGGAAGATAACAAAATATGAGAGGCAAAAAGAGCTAGGCTGGGGATTAGCAATGGAGAAAAAACAATAATTAGAGCAAAGGTGAGAATATTAATAGAAATTGAAGAAACTAATATCTGTTCACTGCATGAAATGCCTGTTGTAAGCCGATGGATAGGGGGATTGATGGTCTGACTCTGAAAGCCTGAGGATATGGTTGTGGTTTGGAACTAGGGAAAAATGGGAGGAATGAGAGATCTGGCTGGACCTCCAGGGCGTAGGGCTGTCAATGGGTCAGTTCTAGGTCTGGACCCCATAGACCCGATTATACTGAAAACAATATTTATTTATTTAAATAACTTAATATTTTAATTTTGATAACATAACTTGAATAAAAATGATAGAAAAATACTAAATTATCAATATGTTGATAAATTAAACATTTTAACTAATATTATCTTATTTATTATCTATCAAATTTACCATTTCAAACATAAATTATGATAAAAATTATAAGAAAATTAAGAAAATATTATATATTTAATAAAATTATAGGTTTCAGGTCTGAATCAGTTCGAGACAGGCAAGAACCGGAACCGACCCAATTATTAATCAGGGAAAAATCATGGAACCAGAACTGTTATAATTGGTTTCGGCCTGTTCGGGTCTTCCAGGTAGACTCGACCAATTGACAGCCCTACCAGGGAGGCTGCCTACATACCCTCTAGAAGCGAGGGATCAAGCTAGATGTAGTTCACCAGTGATGGATTTCCCGTAATCGATGATAGAGAATGGGAGAAGTGGCCAATGATCATAAGCTGGTGATTTCTAGGAAAAGAGAGAGAAGAGGGAGAAACGATGATGGTTTTGAACAGAGGGGAGAGAAAACGAATGAGTTTCTTGAACTGAATGGGTTACCCCCCCCCCATACAGGTATGGAGGTCCTTATAACAGTTCTGGGTTTCGAGGTTTCCTAAAGATAGGAAACTCAAAACCATCGCCAGACTTACAGTCACTGGCTGCCTCTCCCATTCTGTCATTGATTGTCGAAAATCCATCACCAGCGAACTACATCTGGCCTGATCCCTCATCAGCGGGTACGCAGGCAGCCTCCCTGGAGGTCCAGCCAGTTCTCATTCCTCCCGTTCCTGTTCCAAACCGCAGCCATTTACTCAAACTTTCAGAGTCAGACCGTCAATGCCCTATCCATTAGCTTACACCTACTATGAACCAAAGATAAAACCTAATGGAATCGGTAACATTAGGTTTTCCTAGGACCCTAGGAGTTAACACCTTCATAAGTTCAGTGTCAGCACCATAAACAAAATAGAGAAAGTTCTTCATTTATTCATTCATCAATGGCTCAAATGAGCTAATACATGGAGTTTTTCTATAAGTATTTTATTACTGTAAAGAGAGTGAGTGGCCCTCAAAATCATATACAGCTGTAGTACAATGGGTATGAGGTTGTAAACCCACACCAATCATGTACGTTAAAGCTGACCCAAAGATAAAAATTGAACAACCCCCTAGTAACCATCAAAAATAACGCTTTTCCACTAGTCCTTGAAATTGTCACAAGTGACACCAAAAAAAGTCTCAAGTACCCCCACCCACCACCTCAACAACCAATCAACTTCGTTGATTGCCTGATGCAGTAAAAGTATAAAACCAGTAGAAAACAGTAACAAGTGTTAAATCTTGAGGTGAATCAGTGCACTTGAAACTGGAACAAAGAACAACCCACTTTTAGGGCTCAAATCACTACTTCAATGGATAGCATAAGTCTTTAGGATTTGAAAACGGCAAAAAGATCCTTCTACAAACATGATATGAGGCTTATATGGCTGCCTCCAAGCAAAGTGACGCCCCATTTGACAAAAATACCCCAACTTAAGTGACTCACATGACTCACTTAAAAATAAAAGACTAAGATACTAACAAGCAACTATAAATTCCATATAAGATACATAACTCAAGAAAAATAAGAAAACAAAGATGAATAACTAACTTGGGCCCCTAGGAACCCAGCTAATAGTGGGGTTACATGTGTAGGCCCCACATGCTCCGACATCAACCTCCCTAGATTGGAAACTCGACTTCAGCAAGAAAACCTTCATACACTCAGCATATGTGGCTGGATCCAACTTCCACAACTCTTCTTTTGCGATCCTACTAATCTCATTAGCTAGTTTTCCTAGCAATTGCACCAAAAATCATTGATACGTGTTTCCCCTTCTAGATCAAACCTCCTTCACAACCAAAACATCACGTATCATTTCTGGTAAGTTCTTTGGGAGCTAAGAAACATGGTCTCTGGTGGCCACACTTCTCCATCAAATCCCTCAGATGGATATAACTCAACAACATTAAACATAAGACTGATTTGAAGCGCTTCCGACAACTCAATGATGTATGCATTGGAGTTGATTTTCTTCAAAACCTTACAAGGCCCAAAACTTCCTTGAGTTCAGCTTATGGTGTGTTCCCTTAGGGAACCTTTCCTTCCTCAAATGGACAAGTACTTCATCACCTTCACAAAATTCCTTGGGCCTTCTATGCTGATTTCTTGATGCAGCATAAGCTTCATTACTAACTTTTGTTGCAGCCTGTACCTCTTCATGGATGTGTTTGATATGATCAGCAAAATCCCCACCTTCTACACTCGCCCTTGCTTCATTCAGTAAGGAAACAAGGCTTAAAATATCTTGCAGATTGTGTCCATAATCTACTTCAAAAGGATAGTATCCCAAGTCTTGGTTACCTATAAGACACCTCAACATGTTTCCAAGACTTCAATTGACCACTTCCATCTACCCATCTGTTTATGGGTGACATGCTAGAGTAGGTAAGCTTTGTGCCCAACTTCCTCTATAAGGTCCTCCAAAAGTGCCCCATAAACTTCGCATCCCTATCCGATACAATAGAAAAAGGAAGTCCATGCAATCGCATCACCTCTTTGAAGAACAATTCAGCTATGTGAGTAGCATCAACTGTCTTTGAGCAAGGTATAAAATGTACCACCTTGGAGAACCTGTCCACCACCACAAAAATTGAATCATGGTCCCTTGTTGTCTTAGGAAGTTCAGGCACAAAATCAACACTTAAGTGAACCCATGGTGAATTTGGGACTAGCAAAGGTGTGTACAGCCCTGTGTTTTGAGTATTTCCCTTAGATAGTTGGCAAACTCTACATCTTTTCACCACCCATTACACATCCTTGTGCATCTTAGGCCAAAAATAGCGATCAAACACCATGTGTAAAGTTTTATCCCTCCCAAAATGACCTCCTAAACCTCCTCCATGGAGCTCTCTAACAATCTCTTCACTTAGAGATCCCTTGGGAATGCATAACTGACTACCTTTGAAAAGGTACCCATCATGGACAGCATATTATAAGTTCCTTCCATTCGCTGGCCCTTCCTAGGGCTGTTCACAAATAAATTCAAACCGACCAACCCGGCCCGGCCCAACCCGATTTGGACGGTTTTTCTTCACCACCGGTCGGTTTCGGGTTGAAAGATGGGTAAACCGATAAACCAAACCGAACCGAGTTATCTATAAATATATTCTCACTGAAATGTTATATATAATATGTATATTTCAGTTTTAAATATATATATATATATATTGGTTTTAAATATATATATTTCTGAAATGTATTTGCTTTAAATATATTTCCAGAAAATATATTCTGAAATATTATATATAATATGTATATTTCCAAAATATATATATAAAGCTGAAATATATATTTCGGAAATGTATATATTTAAACCAAAACCGACCCAAACCGACCTAAACTAACCAGGTCGGCTTTGCTTAATAGAGGGTCGGTTTCGGTTTAATCTTTAGCTAACCCAACCAGGTCAGTCGGTTGAAAAAAAAAACTAGTAAACCGACCTGTGAACAGCCCTAGCCCTTCCAATTCCTTCATTATTTGGATGAAAAATGGATCATCGCCATACTGATTTTTCAACTCTTCAAAGCTCAAGACTTGCATACATAACACATTCAACTATAAAACCCGTTGGCTAAGTGCATCAGCAACCTTATTTGACACTTTTGGCTTATGTTTTAATGAAAATGTGAATTCTTGTAAATAGGAAGTCCACTTGGCATGTCATGAGCTGAGATTCTTTTTTTTTTTTTTGATAAATAACACCTGGCCCCTTTTTCCCAAAGTGCTAGTTGCGGGATTTGATTCCACGTCAACACTGGAACAAACCAGCTAGCACACCAACGAGCCAGCCCTTGTTATGGGCTGAGATTCTTTTGTGAATTCAAGTACCGTAGGGCCTGATGATCTGAAAACACAACAAACTCCTTGTCTATCAAATAGTGTCTCCAATGTTGTAAAGCTCTCACTAAGGCATAAAACTCTAGATCATATGTAAAGTACCAACGCTTAGCATCAGTTAATTTCTCACTGAAAAAGGCTACTGGTTTATCTTCTTGGTTGAGTACATCAATTCCATCTTGTGATGCATCAAACTCCACTGTAAACAACTTATCAAAACTCGGTAAGGCAAGTATGGGAGCTTCAATCAAGGCTTGCTTGATGTATTGAAAGGCTTTGTCTGCTGATTTTGTCCACAATAAGGTAGAACCTTTCAAAATCTCTATAATGGGGTTCATAATAGAACTAAAATTGTGTATAAATCTATGGTAGAAGGAGGGGCTAAGCCATGGAAACAGCACAGTTCACCTAGGAATTGAGGTATTTGCTACTCCCTAATAGCTTTCAACTTCTTAAAATCTGGTTGTAACCCTTCTGCAAAAACAATTTACCCCCCAAAAAAAAACTAAAAAAAAAAACTA